AAACAACTGGCCGCTGTGATACAATTGTACAACAACAACAACAATAATAATAATAATAATAATGGCAATGGTATTTATTTATTCTACAAGTTTCTTGAATCATGCTGTCAACAAAACCCTGGGCAATGTACAACTTAGAAAAAACTATCTTTCCAACACCCTTTCCCACATCAAAGCATAATAAGCAATGGTTGCTCACTCATCATTGGATTCAAATAGCAAATGGCTTATTTTAAAAAGAGTTCGGTGCCTTCCTGAATGCTAAGAACAAAAGGGACCAAATGCATCTTTAAGGCTGTTTATTTCATGACATCAGGGCAACCATCAAGAAAGCCTATCTACTGAGCTATATCTCTCTCACTTCTCCTTGGGATGGCATCACCAGCAGAGATTCCCTAGAGCAGGGGTCCTTGCTGGCTGGGGAATTTTGGGAATCGAAGTCCTCCAGGCTTAAGGTTGCCAGGGTTGGAGACCCCTGCCCTAGAGGCTATCATAGAATGAGCAGAAATATTTTGGAGGAAGAACCCCAAGATAGCTGAAACCACATAAAATAAAGAGCAAAGTAATCTAATATCAACAGTGACCTTATAGTGTACCATAAATCTGTTTAACTCATTACTGATAACTAGATTACTAATTTATAATTTTCAGCATTTCAGTAAAAATATTTGTCATTTTAACCTTCCCTGAATAAATATCAATGGCTCTCTTCTGTAAATGATTCCCATCTGCTTGGTACTGAAGGCAGTTGTAATTAAGGTCACATGGTTTAGTCTATCTCAGTATACAGAACCTCTTTGTATTTGAAATAGCACTTGAATAACAACTGTATTTTCAAGTCTTGCATGTTACAGAAAACTTTACATTTATGTGGAAGCATAAGAGTGTAAGTATGCATAGTGATATTACATTGGAATAAACTTGAAATGTTACCTAGAATACTTTTTATTCCAATAGTGAACGCAGAGTATTTGGCAGTAGGATTGCTTGCTGCATCTGTGTGCCACAGATTCTCTGACGGCTCTCACTTTGCAAATTATGGTATTAAGAAGGTGTACAATTGCATACAGTATGTCTACATTTAGTCAACCTATAGATGATGTTTTGTGGAAAGTGTTATTTGGATCTTATTTTGATTGCTTAAACAATTGAGTTCAAATTGAATAAAGTTAAAGTAAGGATCTCCATTTTTTCAAGCCACATTGAGTAAATATCCTGAACACCGACAAAACTTAACAACTACGTAGGATCTGGCTGTTCGCAGAATGTTTAAAGCACTTCTCTTTCCTATGTATTTATTCATTTATTCAGTTGTTATAACTGCCCATATCACATACATGACTGCAGGCTTGTGTATTAAGTCTGTTTATGTATTGTATTTAAAAAAAACCACCTGATTAAGCTCTGATATGATGCAATCTGAATATAGGACATCCACTTCTTTCTTTTCAGGGTCAGATCTCTAATTGGCCTTGAGTTGATCGATGCTACTAACTCTGCAGGGAGGAGGACCATCTTTTAATACCAGCAATCATAATTATTTTCTTGAGCCACCTACAAGAGCTGGTGATTGCTGTTGTTCTCCATAATGGGGCAGTTCCTTTTGATGGAAAAGAAAAAAAAAATGAATCTTAAGCCCCTTGTGTACGAGTTGCTATAGACAGTCAGCATTTTCTCCAGTCTTCTTTAGTTTCTATATGAAAGCATCTGTCATCTGTTATCACAGATTTAGTGTCAACCATATACTGATGATACCCATCTTTGCACCTTGACTTCTGGACTAACAGGTGATGTATCGTAATTGAAATTCTGTCCTGGTGCCAGCAGTCGCTTAGAGTCTGATACCTCAAGACTGCCTTCTCCCAATCATTTGTATCTATCTGATAAAATCAAATAAAAGGGACTCTCACTCGGAGACTGTAATAATTTGAAGGCCCTAAAGGTAGTCTTTTCAATCCCTGCACTCCTTATTTGGAACAACATGCTCTTTGGATTTATATGGAGCCAGTTGGGTTTTAGAAAGGCCAATAAAACTTGGCTTTTTCTGTAGGCCCCTGGGGGCAGAAATAATGTGAAATATACCCGCTGATCACCTGGGGGCTGATCGAGGTTGAGCTATTTTATTTGTTAATTTATTTTTAGTAGTTTGTTTTGTTGATCTCTGGTGTTAAATTTTGATCTATATTATAGTTAGTCCTTGATTGGTCACTTCCGATTATTTGAAAGTATGACAGATCACCCCAGGGGCTACTTTCAGCCTAGATTTCCAATAGCTGGTTCCATTCCCAAAGTCATGTGATCACATATTGGCCACTTGGTAACCGGCTTGCATTTATGGATGTTTGCAGCATCCCGTAGTTACGTAACTGCAGTGTATGGTCTTTCTTTGGCCAGAATTGGGTTTTACTTCCAGAAAATGCCCGTTGAAGACTACTTGTTTATTAAATTTATATGCTGCTTACCTTATCATCCAAATTGACTCTATGGATTTGTTTAACGGCTGCAGCATTTGCTAAACAACCATGATGATTTCCTTAATTACTGCCACCAAAAAGGAGGTAAAATTGGGCTTGGTCAAATGGTGATCCACTTAATGACTGGCATAACTTACATCCATAATTCTGGGCTCAATTATGGTCGTAAGTCAAACGTAACCTATATTGCATTATAGTTGTATAATTATTGTATATTTTAACCTTATTTACAAAAAAATAGATACTAAAGGCACTCAAAGTTGATATTAATTGCAGCAGAATATAATCACAATAAACAAATAAATAAATACCTTCCCCTACCCAAATATGCCCCCTGCCAACCTCATATTACCTTTTTCATATATCTTGGCATTTCCTTCCTGTTCACCTGATGGATGAAGTGCCTTTAAAAAAAAAACTTGTGTGCACTGAATATTGTGGAATTTTCTTTGCCCCAAGAAAATCAAGTACAGTTTGCAAAAGCCAGTGGGCTTTATGATGCCAGCCCAGGGATAAAGCTCCATTGTTGGGGAGTTACAATAGTTTTTAAAGTGAAGGATTGCATAGTGTTACAAAGTATTGCATAGATACATTTTGTATCAGCAAGGACCATGGTTTTGAGATACTGTAATCAAAAGTTCTTGCTGCTTTTCTGGGGAGGGGAGGAAGGTTCGTAAAGAAATATTTATTTACTATATTTTTTAATTGTGTTTTGTCGATAAGTATTGTGTCCAAGATGTTTTGCAAATACAAGAAAGAGATTCTACCATTAGTGCAGCAAATTAAAAAGAAAGAACATGTAAAGAAAGGGAGTTCAAAGACAGACAAAAATATGGGTTCTTCCAGAATATGCCTCAAAAAAGTTGATAATGTTAAATGGGCATTTATTTTCTGTTTGTGTGAGACTGAATTCTCCATTTATTCATTTTTATAAAACTAATAATAAAACTTCAGAAAATGAATCCTTGCATTAAATAGCAGTAAATGGCTCATGCCATTTAGAAGAGGAAGAAAATGTTATTCTTGTTTCACTGCCACAAATGAATGGGGCTGAGTGTTCTTTGTGAAGAAAAATCCCTGCAATTATTCCTTCTCTGGGTAAATAGAAAAGTATACTGTACTTGTGATCAGAAACTGCTGAGACACATTGATATCAACAATATCATTTAGAATAGCAAATATAAGCTTTCAAATATGAGACTGATATGATTGAAACAATCCTGAAGTTCAAAAAGGCTTCTGAAATAATGGTTGACTTTAAAGTCTAAATATTAACCCTACCCTAAGGGGGAAATGGTACATGCATATTTACACTATAAGTAGCAGGTGGATGGAAGAGTTCTGTTTGAAGGGTATTGAGTGAGAATGTTAAATGCACTATACATCTTGCAAATAAGAAATTTGCTGTTTTATTATAGTGAACTACAAAAATACTTTCCAGTACTTTCTCTTACCTTGTCTGTTATATTTATCTAGTCTTAGTTAGTTTACTTTATTTTTCTTTACTTAGTTTTTTTTTTTTCTTCACTTACTTTTTCTTTACTTGGTTTTTTTTTAACAAACAAAGAATGGATTTTATAGGGACTTAGTAACTAATGCGATAAACCAACATTTCAAAAATGGCTGGAATGGTCACATCATGATAGGACAAGAAATGATAACTTCGTAATTTAACTCAGCAAAAATTAAGGGAAGGATTTCTTTCTCTTACTTTCTTTGCCAACTCCCTAGTCTTCCCTTGTAATATTGTCTTCTATAATTAATGAAAAAAGTGTGGCGAGAGGGAAATTACTGATGATTGATAGATACATAAATAGGACCCAATAAATAGTATAAGAATCCTCTGCTATTGACATAATGATTTTGCTATTTAAAATGTTTTCAGTAGTTGTCTACATTTCTTGATTTTAAAATGTGAAAAAGCAAAATAATTCTTCAAATTATCATTAATGAAAATTCTAATTCTATAGCTCAAGGGTGTTAAACTCGATCACATCATGTGATGTCACATGACATCGTGATGTGTTTTGCCTTTGCAGAGCTGGGGCGGGCATGGCCTGTGCGTGATGCATCCAGCTTGTGGGCCACCATTTTGACACCCCTGCTATAGCTAATATTCCCATTGTCTGTTCAATGTAGAGTGGTTATAAGAGAAAATGTTTTTTTATAATCATAAATTTGAATTTATTTCCAAGAAAAAGAAAAAAATCAATGATATTTGGAATTGTGATAAATTGATGATATGTGAAACAAATATCATTGACCCAAATGTATGTGGCAATCATCTTCAGTGTGATAGTTTGTCTTTCAAATTTAGAACTCATTTGTAAACTCCCATGTTTCTGATAACACAAATAGAAACTTAAATATATGTGTGGCACCCCAAATTCTAATGAGGTGAGAAATTGGCATTAATTTCTGGTGCAGTGGAAAACTGGAAAAGTGATCAATGTATACATAGTCTGGAAGCATTATAATAAGTATTCTTTAATGATAAAATTGTTGTAAACTGAAACTCTGTCTTGCAGATCACAGGAGCTTTGTTAAAAGAAAGAGACAAACAAGCAAAATGGAATGGAATTCCTTTGCTCTTACAAAAGCTCTATGAGACTAGCCATGCTAATAGTGATTTTTCTCAATGCCAGAGCATCTTAAAGGTAAGTTTATTGGATCATTTTCAATCAAACATCACTGTGTTAAAACTGTTCTTAATCACAAGCCAATGATCAACAGTATTAGTAACTTATTGTGTAAGTCATTGTACTACAAAATCACAATCTTGAATAATATCCATATATTTAGAATATGTGGATTGAACATCAAAAGTTACTGTGTAATTTGTAATGTTTAATTTGTCGCATATTCTGTATGCATGATGTCAGTATAATGTTCCAACTCATACTGCTCTGTTCCTACTACATGTTATTTTATTTAGTTGTTTTTCATGAACTAAGCATTCCCCATTGCTATTTAGCCTTTCTTCATGGTGAAAATGTTTCAAACTATTGCTATAATAGAGGTGATGCTGATTAGTCCAGGCTATCACTGCTATACAAACAATTTAAAATTTCTGTTTATTAGCATATCTAGAATGATTTTGTTATCATGCCCAATTTATATGTATATAGAGTATATCTATATATGGAATTTAATTTAATAAATCTCGTTCTACATTATTAAAACTAAATCATGTCCGTTTTCTTCAAAGCATAATTATGTACAGTTGTACCATTTCAATTCCAGCAATTTCCAAGCACCAGTCTTGTTTAACAAGATACTAGAACATTTTGTCTGTCACTTTCTGTGCCTTTTTCAGCTCCATTGTAGACTTTTAATTTTTTTTCTAACAATCTTGAAAAAAAAATCAGTATTGGACTGTTTATCATAACCCCAAGGTCTATTTCTTGGTCACTCATTACTAGCTTAGATACTGGAGGGGAGGAATCTTTGTTTAATGTGAAACCATTACATTTGCTTTTATTGAACTGCACTTTTCATATGAATACTCATTATTTTGGGACATGCCATCCAAATTTTGTAGAGCAGTTAAAAACAATCAGTTTAAAGTATTGGCCTTTTGAAATTTAATATACTGTATATACTCGAGTATAAGCCTAGTTTTTCAGCCC